ATGGAGGCCTCCCAGGCCAGCCAAGCACACAGGCCTGATCCTGGAGGCCAGGCCCCAGAGGGAGGTGGGCAGAGCCGCATGGTGGGCAATTAGAGTCCCGGGCAGCTCATAGCAATAGAGCTTCCTGGAACCTATAGAGGCATAGCTCCAGACACAGGTGTTTGCACATTCCCCAGAAGCTCTCCTGAGACTGGGACTGGGGGTGCATGGGGGTGCATGGGGCTGCAGGACTACGAGTAAGGACCTGACCCCAAGAGCTCCCTGGCGCAACATTCCTAACCACCCCTCCCCAAATGGCTGTCCCAGAGGCCCTGACATTCAGCCTCTTCCTTGGAGCCAGACCCTGACAAGGCACCCGCCCTCCTGCTGCTCCTCTTCCCCTCCCCACTCCCTGCAGTATCACAGCCACTGCGGCCAGCATCGGAGCAGCCGGCATCCCCCAGGCCGGGCTGGTCACCATGGTCATCGTGCTCACCTCCGTGGGACTCCCCACCGACGACATCACCCTCATCATTGCCGTTGACTGGGCTCTGTGAGTGGACTTTGTCCCCAGCTCTAGCCCCCTGTGAGGGGCTGGCTTCAAAGGCAGCAGGGATCAGGGTGATGGGCTGAGTCCCTTCTCCAGGGTAGAAGGCTGGGGTGGGCGAGGCCTCCAGGGGCAGGGTCCTAAGGCGGGAACTCAGCTCTCCAACCTTCCTGAGCAGCCGGCAGGGGCCAGGACCACACGTTCTTCTCACCTTTGAGAGGCTGGAATTAACCCACTTGAGGGTCACTGCTGTACTGACCCTCATCCTCCCTAGTGTCTGTAGGCACTGTGGCAGTGCCCTACTCATCAGCACAGGCCTGGCTGCATAATGGCGATGAAGATGGCAATGAAAATGTGGAACCCAGTCCAAAAACTGTAAAGACCAGGCGTGATGACTCACGCCTATAAATCCCAGCACTTTGGGAGGCCGAGGCAGGAGGATTCCTCAAGCCCAGGAATTCGAGACCAGCCTAGGCAACATAACAAGATCCCCATCTCTACTAAAAGAAAAAAAAAAATTAGCTGGAAGTGGTGATATGTGCCTGTAATCCTACCTACTAGGGCAGCTGAGACACAAGAATCGCTTGAACCCAGGAGATGGAGATTGCAGTGAGCCAAGATGGTGCCACTGCACTCCAGCCTGAGTGACAGAGCAAGACTCCGTCTCAAAAAAAAAAAAAAAAAAACCTATAAAGAATTTCAACACAGAAACAGCAGAACATTAAACCAAACCTGTCCCTTTTAGCATAAGGACCTGTGGAACCCACAGCCACATGCCAAGAAGCTGCTTCAAAGGGTGGGCTTGGGAGGAGCCAGGAAGCCACCTGGTTGCAGGCTCTGCACGACAGCTGGTCACCAGCCATGCTTTGCTGCAGTGGGTTAAGCACTGCCCTCTTCCAGCTCCCCTTCAAGTGCCCACCACTCACTGCCCTCCTTGGCTCACCAGGGACCGTTTCCGCACCATGATTAACGTGCTGGGTGACGCACTGGCAGCGGGGATCATGGCCCACATATGTCGGAAGGACTTTGCTCGAGACACAGGCACCGAGGTGAGAGCAGTGAGGTCCAGAGGCCATCAGGAGGGTGGAGTCAGGTGGGGTGGGCAGGACACCAGCTCTTTACCAACCAGCTGGGCAGCCTCCAGCCAATCCCTCCCTCCATGCCTCTGGGCCTCTGCTTCCTCATCTGTTACAGGGTGACTAATTCCTCTAACATCTATTTATTGAGCACCCACTGTGGCTGGCGATGATATAGACACAGGAGGAACAGGGGAACAAAATGTGAGAAGATTCCCTGCCCTCGTGGAACTTACACTCCAGTGTAGGGATGGCCTGTCCAGTTTAGCAACAATGTGAATACTGGTAGGTCTGTGCAGGCTGTATGGGCTTTAGGCTCCTTCTGTGGGCAAATGGAGAAAGCTGTCCCCACGTCATGGGGAAGAAAGCTGAGGTCAAGCAGAGGAGCCACTGATTCCCCAGCTGGACCCTGTGGATCAAGTCCCCTCCTCTACTAAGGCAGCTCCAGTGGGAGGCAGGACAGCTTAGGAACAGGAGCCCAGGGAGACCCTGCAGCCTGCCGAGGCCACACAGCATGTCTGTGGGAAAATCCATCTCGTGGTTCCTAGCCCTGAGCTCATTCTGCTGCACTGACCCTCAGTCCTTCCTAGTATCTAACCTCAGCCCTTCCTGATGCTGCCAAGGCCTGTTTCCCTTCACCAGAAACTGCTGCCCCGAGAGACCAAGCCAGTGAGCCTCCAAGAGATCGTGGCAGCCCAGCAGAATGGCTGCGTGAAGAGCGTGGCTGAGGCCTCAGAGCTCACCCTGGGCCCCACCTGCCCCCACCACGTCCCCGTTCAAGTGGAACAGGATGAGGAGCCGGCCGCTGCGCATCTGGACCACTGCACCATCCAGATCAGCGAGCTGGAGACCAATGTCTGAGCCTGCGGTGTAGGGGACAGGGTCCTGCGGCAGGAACTCAGCTCTCCAACCCTCCTGAGCGGCCGGCAGCGGCCAGGACCACATATTCTCACTCTTGAGAGCCTGGAATTAACCCCACTTGATGGAAAATGGAGTCTCAAAGAAGGGAAAGGCAGCATGGGGGAGCCCCAACCAGGGCGTGATGGGCCCAGCACTGCCCGAGGCCTCACTGTGACAGTTTCCCCATGTGAGCCCAGTGAGGGTGGCAGGCAGGGGTTATCCTGCCCCACTTTCTAGATGACAGAGTTGAGGTTCTGAGAGCTGAAAACACTTGTCCAAGGTCTCACGTTAAGGTCAAGACACTAACTCAAGTCTTTCAAGCCCCGCCTCTCCTCTTGGAGGACAGGGCAGCCTGTAGCTATGTCCAGTCCCAGGCCCCACCCCATAACAGGTGGCCTCAGCCACACAGCTCTCCCTGCAGGGAGCAGCCCAGGGCCCAGCCCCGCTGCCTTCCCCAGGCCACAATGTGTCCACCCTCCTGTCCTGCCACTTGTCTCTTGCAAAACTCCTTGGATGTGGAGGTGGATGTCTTTACTAGAACTGAAAGTCCCCCTCGACACATCCAGGCCAGCCTCCCACGGGATGCGTGGGCAAGCCATGACTCCAGGAGGGAGGAGTACCTGGGAGTACCTGGGAGTACCTGGGACATGCTGGCAGAGCTGCCAGTGGGGCCCTGGTGTCAGAATTCCCCAAAGGCCTGTGTGGCCAAGTGGAGTCGGGTTTTTTATTCCTTTCTGTGTTTGCAAATTCACTGATAACTAAATAAAGGTGTTTTGTTTTTCACTTCTTGTGGGCTCCAACACCGTATGCTAGCCAGCAAATACGATAATAGCTACTGTGCTAATGAATACAGGCAGCCAGAGTGCAGACAGGCCTGTCTGGGCAGCTGGGGTATGGACAGGTCTGTGCAGGTGGCGAGAATCTAACAAGCTTGACCGTGTAGCTGGAGTGCAGACAGGTCTGTCCAGGCTGCCAGTGTGTGGACAGGCCTGTGTGGGCAGCCAGAGTGCAGAGGAGCCTGTCCCGGTGACCACAGTAAGGACAGGCCTGTCTGAGCTGTCACATGCAGAAGACAGTACAAGCAGCCCACCCAGGAGCCTGTCTCAACAACCGCAGGGCGGCTGGGCATCGTCCAGTGTGGACAGATCTCTCTGTCCTGGCCTAGACTCTGCTCTGCAGGCAGGGCCTTGAGATCGATTGGTCCCCAGAGAAGCATCAGATTTTCTTCCCAGTCTGGCTCCCTGTGGTGAATGCTTTGCTTTAGAGAGGGGTGTGCCCAGGGACATTTCCAGATGGTCTCCCTCTTTCTTCCACCCCAGGCTGCCTTCAGGAGGCCTGCAGGGCACACAGAAGGGCCCTGACCTCACAGCCTGTTCCAGACATGCCTTGGGGAGAAGACACAGCTCTGGGGTCTGGAGGGGCTTGCACCATGGTGCCCATGAAGGCACTAAGGCCCCAGGAAGGGACAGACCTCTCCCGGGTCACTCAATGTCAGGAGGGCACCTGCTTCCAGCACCCCACTCCCAAACTCCTTCCACCTTCCTCTCAGGGGTGGAGTCTGAGGAGTCTGGGAAGAGCGGGACCCCAGGACACCACCTTTCACTGCAGGGCTGGGGGCCCTCCATGAGAGCATCCATCCTTCGCTGAGGCCTCCCCACCTGGGAGAGGTCAGATGTCATGCAATCGGTCATCCGACCTTCATGCGGATAGGCTTAAGCAGTCCCTTCTTGGTGTCACATCTCTAAGACCCCTTGAGCAATTGAGTCTGTCCCAACACAAGGCAGGAGCCTGTTCTTTAGTGGACTTGATGGGAGCATACTCAGACACCTCCAGCAGCAGGTCACTACTTCCAGGGCACCTCAACCCACTGTGGGGCAGCTCTGCCCATCGGAAGTTCTTCTTAGCTCAGAGCTGGGTACCACCTCCCTGTGGCTTCCTCTCCCAGTCCCAGCTCTGCCCCCACTGGCATGGGGAGCACACAGGGCACATCTGTGAGCTCTTTCCTGGGAAGGTCTGCAGAGACCTGGCCCCCAAGTTGGCTGTGTTCCAACTCCAGGCCTACCTCCAGTCCCTTGCTCTCCTCTAAGGCACGGGACCCACTGGTAATGCCCCTCAGTGCAAAGGTGAGCCATGACCCTTAGGCTCACCTTAGGCTCACCAAAGGTGAGCCCTTAATAGGCCCAAAGCCCAGGAGGTCCTTTGCTTGGATGCTCCACCTCTGGGAGTACTCACAGGCCATGTGTGCAGATTCAGGCCTCACCTACTATACCCCAGTGGGCCATCTGCACACAGCTCCAGGCCCCTCACCTGAGGCTATGCCCTGTCTCCCAGGATCCCTGCCTATGCAGCTACTCTGGAGGCCCTGAGAACTGGACTTTCCACTGATGCCTGCTGGTCTGGCCAGGGCGCTGAGGGGCTTGTATCCTGCCCCCTCCACCCGGCACCAGCCCAGCACCTGGCAGGAAGCACACACAGACACAGCCACAGGCTGCAGGGACAGGGATAATGCTTTTATATTAGTTTTTCTATAACAAGAAAAATCAGCTTTGAGATTTTTATCATTTTTTTCCTTAGAAAAGAATAAAAAACAAAGGCACCCGGAACTTCCCCCACAGGCCTGAAGAACAAAGGTGTCTCCTGGGTGCAGCTGGGCCCTTCCCCCGCCTTCTGGCTCAGCCCAGCCCCATGGCCTCCACTTCACTCCTGCACCAAGGCCCCAGCAGCACCCATGGGGCCCTCCTGTCCTTCCTCCTCAGGGCTTGCCCATCGGAAAAGTGCCTGTGTCCTGCCAGGGTGTAGCTGGGGGAGGGCTCTTGGCAGAGTGACTGCCTAGCACCGGCAGGAGCAGCATGGGCCAGGCAAGGCCAGCAGTCCTGAAGGTTCCTGTCCCCAAAGAGTGGGAAAGGAAAAAAAGCCAGCTTTTGTGAGTTCCAGAGGGTGGCAGGCACCTGGCCACAGAGCATGGAGATACCCTTGTGTCTTCTCCAGGGAATGGACGGACAGATGGACGGGGCAGACGGTGAGCTGCTATAGCTTGTTCTGGCTGGGGCAAGAGCTGTCTGTGGCACAGGCTTTGGAGGGCTGTTTGCACATGATTGTGTGTGTGTGTGTGTGTGTGTGTGTGTGTGTGTGTGTTGTGTAGCACACGCATAGACATGTCAGCAGCAGGAGGCATCCAGCACCTGTGTGTGCCAGGGCAGGGGCAGACCCTTCCCTGCATGATTGAGAGGGCATGAGAGGGCATGGCAGCAGTAGTGGGTATGGGGCAGAGACTGGTGGTTTGGAGGGCAATGTGTAACTGGCTGTGTGGCTGAGCTGGGCATGTGAGGTTGTGACGTGCTGTCTGCACATGTCTGGCCGTGGGACACGCTGTGGGAGGGGTGGGGATATGAGATTGTGTCGGCCTGTGTCGTGTGGGATGCCCCATGCTTGCAGCTGGGTGTATCTGTGTGAGCACGGCAGAGTGGGGGGCTCTTGGGCACAGGTGTGTACTGCAGCAAGGAGTCCGGCGGTCCATCGTCCTGCAGAACACATAAAAGAGTCAGGGGCCAGCTTGGGGCAGGTCCACCAGCCACAGGAAGCTGTGGGAGGCTACTGAGGGGAGCCCTGCTGTAGGCGGCTCTGGAAAGGCCGGGCTACTATGAGTAGGGAGGGAGCCCAGAACCAGTGGGGTGCTCATGCCAGAAGGCGTTTGGGTCCCACCGGCCATTCCCCAGAGCCTCTCCCAGAGCCCCACTCAGTTGACCTGAGAAGGGGCAGATTCTCACCCAGGACTCTCATTACAGGACTCACAGCCCCCCTCATGAGGGCTGTGGTATCCTCACTGAATGGCCAGTCCCCTGTCACTGGCCCCAACTCTGTGTGAGGACAATGCCTGGGAGAAACGGCTCCACCTTCATCTTCCTGGGCCCTGGGAGCTCAGGAAGGTGACCCCTAAGCTCGGCCTCCTGCCAGCCCCGCCCCCGCATGCACACTTCTCTCATCATCAACATGCACCCCTCTCCCAGCTCCCTCTGTCACCCACCTGAGGGTCCCTCAGCAGCCACCTCTGGCTCCTCTTTGCCCCAGGCCCTACCTCAGTCAACACTCACCAGTGGCCCTGAAGCCCCTCTCATGGTAGCCCCGGCCCTGTGGCCCCCAGCCTGGCTCACTCATCCACACCCCTCCTCTCCTCTCTCCTCTGACCACACAGCCACTCCAGGCTCCCCTCCAACATCCTCCTCTGAGTCCAGCCTGTCAGCCCTCCTGCCTGCACCTCCCCAACCCAGCCTGACCCCGGGACCCAGGCCTACAGCCAGCCTACAGCCAATACCCTCCCTTATTCCTTGCTCTCCTGTCCTGCACACTGGGCTGAAAACCCAGCTGGGGATGGATCCAGCTGTCCGCCTTCACACCTGTGGTCTGCGAAGCATGGCTTCACATCAGCCACCAAGCCACCAACCTGCCTGTGACTGCAGCCACCCTGCCCTCTGTCCCTCCTGCTAAAGCCAGCAACTTCTACCATTCCCACAGGGGCCCTCACGCCCCGCTCCTTCCTACATCAGTAACTCCCCCTCCCGGCCTGCCTCTTCCTACCAGCACCCCTCAGTTAAGCAGATGCGTGTATGGAAGATGCATCTTTCCAGAGCCCCCACTCAGGTCTCCCCTTGAGAGGCCTTTGCTTCCTGTGCAGTTCAGAAAATGAGCCCTTCTTGAACATCATACCCCATTCCCACCTGTGCCCTCTCTCATCTCTCACAGCCAAACTGCTCCAAAGGCTCATCTACAGTGCCTGGACCCACCTCCTTTCCAGCTGCTCTCCTCACCCCCAGCTTCCCCTTCGGCTACAAAGTCACAGACAACCTCCTGGTGGAAAAATCCAATCCAAATCTCTGCGGTGCTCAGCTCCCTCCACCCCTCAGCAGCACTGACATGGCCAAGTCCCCGCTTCTAGAGACGTCTGTACATGCACATATTGTGTGCACATATTGTGTGCATGTGTGTGTGTGCAGATGTGCAGGTAAGGGCTGCGTGTGCACATACGCATGGCTGTTTTATGTGCATGTACTCAAATGCATGTACACATGTGTGTGCATGTATATGGTCTAGGCCTGCAAATGTGTCATGGAGTACAAGAATGCATGTGTCTCTATGTGCATGTGTGTGGTGTGTGTTCTGCCTTCCGTGGTTTGTGGATATGTGTACATGTTTAGACATGCGTGCACATGAATGTATGTGTGTTGGTGCATACATGTGTATTTGTGTGCATGCGCACATGTGTGTCTGTGTTACATACATGTGTAAATGCCCTCTGTCCATGGCAGTGGGGTTGTCCCACCTGCTTTCCTAACTGCTCTGTCTCAGTCTCCTCTCCCGCTTTGCCTGCCCGCCTCACTCACTCTCCTACGGCAGCTTCCCCAGCCCCTGCGGCTTCAGTGACTGCTTCAAGGCTGACAATGCATGGATCGGTCTTTCCAGACCAGACCTCACTCCTGAGCCCAGACGCACATGTCCAGTGCCCCCCAGGCACTCCCATAATAGCACCTTCACTCTGGGTGAGAATTTTCTGGAAATTGTGGGCCTCCTGTAGGCCTCAACCTTTCACCCTGGGACTGGTATGTCCCAAGTGCTCTTATAAATTTGCAAAATGGGCAGATGAAGCAGAGAACAGAGTGAAGCACGGCCAGAAAGACCCTACACCCAGGTCAGGAACAGGAAAGTACGGTGAGCAGAGGTGAGGGCTGCCCCACACAGGCCACGTACCTAGGTCAGATCTGCGTCACCTTGTCACTATCTTGTTTCCTCTTCCTCTTCCTCCTCTTCCTCCTCCTCCTCCTCTTCCTTCCCCAAGCGGCCACGGTCCTTGGAAACGTCACCAAACTCAAAGTTGCCTTCAATGTCCAAGACCTGCAGGTGCTTCAGCCTCCGGAAGGCGCTGTCCACCACAGAGCCCACGGCCAGCTTATTAAACCTGTGCCAGAATCGAGGTGGAGTCAGTGCCAGGAGCCCAACCCCCAAGGAACCCTCCCTTACCCCAACTGCCCTCTCCACAAGGTAACGGGGGAGGGAACAGCCCTCCCGCAAAGTGATGCAGCAGGCAGGAAAGGCCAGGGGCTGAGAGGTGGGGAGCATGATGGAAGGTACAGGCCAGTCAGGTAGCCACAGCTTGGGGTGGGGCTGGCACTGGGCCAGTCTCTGCAAAGTGAGGGGTCTCTCTCTGGGCACACTTTCACTGCTATTTTGGAAGCCACATCTTTGGGAGCTGTCTCTATGCCATCCCTGGCATTAACCCCAAGGCCTGAGGCTCCCAGGCTGTGGTAGCCAGGGGTCACCGCAGTGCCTGAGGTGGAGTGGCACACAGGCAAGGCCAGCACTGAGGTGGGCTAGGGCCACACTCAGGGATGGGGAGGTGGAAGCTGTGGCTCTGATCTCTGGCCCTTCAATGCACTTCAGCTCCCCTGCAGATGCCCGAGGCACATGTCATGCCACCCTGATGTCATCGAGCCCCAGACCTTCTGGGCCACCAAGCTCCTGGGAGCACAGATTGCTCTTTTTTGCTCTGTCTTCTTCTCTCTGATTTGGGGGCAGGGACAGTGGGAAGTGCTGGGAAGAACCACCCTGGCTCTGCTGCATGGAAGCCCCTCATATCCTTGGGAGCCGCATGTCCTGAATCCCTCCAAACCCCCATCCCTTAGCCCCAGAACCCAGGGAGGACCTGAGCATCTTGCTGAGTGTGAGGCCCGGGCCCAGCCTGGATGGCCGCAGACACAGCAGTCACCTGTGCTCTGGGGGCCTCAGCTCTCCCAGGTGTAAACTAGGAAGATGCTGTCTGACGTCCTTTCTGCCACAGCAACATTCACAACACCCATGTGCACTGGTTTTTAACGTTTCCAAAACCCTTTTACAAACCCAGGAACCATATCAGGCCTGGGCAGGACTTAACCCTTGAGAGCTGAGCCGTGGTTACAGTCAGCAGTGGAGCCAAGCTGTTCCCACGTGCCTCAACTGTCCCGCTGGAGCTGGGGTCCCCCCGCCCCAGGGATATATACAGGGTCGAGAGTGGCCTCCTACCTGAGAAAGATCCCCTTGAGGTTGGGTGTGGAGTCGAAGGCATTGGCAGGCACTGCATTAATCTTGTTGTTCTGCAGGTACAGGTACTCAAGTGACTCGGGGAGCCCCTGGGGGATCTCTGTGAGCTGATTCCCGGCGATGTCCAGCAGCTGCAGGGGCGACCAAGGGAGTCAGGGACTCCCACCTGTGCAAAGCACTTAACAGCTTACAAAACTCCCACCAAGCCCCCAGCCTATCTAAATCTAACGATAACCCCATGTGGAGCAGGGGGAGTCTATCACTATGCCCACTTCCCAGATGTCGAAACAGAGGCTCAGAGAGGTTAAGTGACCTTTCCAAGGTCATATAGCCTGTAAAAGGCTGTAGCTAGGTGCACCTGACTCCCAACCCTTATTCTAATTGATGCATGTCCTACCCAGCTTCTTGTGCCTTCTCACATAAACTCACAGCCAAGATATTTGGGTGTCACCGTCCTACCTCCTGACACCCTTATCATTCCCATTAGACTTTGTCATTCCCAAAGACCTCAAATAGGCAGAACCCAGGGATCCTCCAGACTCTGAATCTCACCCCACTGGCCCTGGATGGGGGCAGTGGGAGGTGCACTGGTGGGACTGCTCACTTATGGACCTCAGGGGCCATATGTTCAGAGGCCAGAAGCAAGGGGGTGAGACCCACAGCAACCGCGGCACAACAGCCAGGCCCCAGGCCCTTCTGTCTCAGATCATTACATGCCTGGAGTCCAGGGGTGGGCAGTCAGGGAAGTGGGCTCTAACAGGGAGCCGCTGGAGCCTGGTGCCACCCTACCCTTCCTCCCAGGTGTTTCCTTTTTTAAAAAATTTGAGACAGGGTCTTGCTCTGTCATCCAGGCTTGAGTGCAATGGTGCAATCATAGCTCGCTGTCAGTTCCGTCTTCCCTAGGCTCAAGTGATCCTCCTCCTCAGCCTCCTGGGGTAGCTGGGAATACAGGTGTGTTCCCAGGCTATTTTTTTAATTTGTTTTTTGTAGATATGGGGTCTCACTATGCTGCCCAGGCAGGCCTTGATCTCCTAGGTTCAAGCAGTCCTCCTGACTCAGCCACCCTAAGTGCTGTGATTACAGGCATGAGCCAGCATACAGAGTGGATTTCTCTTTGCACCCACACTGGTTGAGTTGGAGGTTTTGCTTGTTACCATATTGAACCATGTACCCAGACATCCCTGCCTAACTCTGACCGTATGGCCACAGCAGCCACATCCACTGGCCAGCCCCAGAAAGCATGAGTAGATTCCCACCACTAGCCCTCTGCAGACTGGTGAGGTGGGCCCACAGGCTGTCCCCCTCTGTCCCCATCCCGAAGCCCAACCTTCTCCACATACCTACTCCTGTGCCTGCAAGGGAGTGAGCTTGACTCTCCCATGCACACCCCACTAGTCCTCCTGAACCTGGGGCCCCTACCTGCAGCCATGACCTTCCTTACCTCCACAGCCCTTCTCAAACCTGTTATCTGCAGGTGGTGAGCTCAGCTTAGCCAGACCAGCTGTACTCTGTCCCTCGCTCTTGTACCTGCAGGTGGGCTGGGCTGACCCTGGCACACCAGCACCCTCTGCATGGCCCACCTCCTACCTACCCTAAGGCCTAGCTTTGCCCTAGCTGGCATCCCCAGCAGATACCTGAGGGTGAATGAGCTCAGCCTGGCCATACCTGAGGAACCTCCCTCACCACCCAGCCTTTCTCCTCACCCATCAGACGGGTGGGCTCAGGACAGCCATGCCAGTACCCCCCTCCACGGACATGGCCCAGCTCCCTCCCTTCCCCTTACCTGCAGACCGGCAAGGTCCACCCAGGCGCGGGGGCCCAGGGCCCGGCTGCGCAGTCGGTTGCTAGTGAGGTACAGCTCACGCAGCTGGGCCATGCCCGCCAGTGCCCCTCGTGCCAGGGCGGCCAGCTCATTGCGCTTGACCTTCAGCACATGCACATTGCGAGGCAGCCCAGGTGGCAGCGTGTGCAGCCGGTTGCCGGACAGGTCCAGCGAGCGCAGCAGGCGCAGCTTGCGGAAGGCATCGCGGTGCATCTGCGGGCTGGTGATGCGGTTGTAGCTGAGGTTGAGCTCCTCCAGGAAGTAGGTGGTGGCAAAGTCTTCGCGGCCAATGCCTGTGATCTGGTTGTGCAGGATCATGAGGGTGCGCACGCGGCGAGGCAGGCCGCTGGGTACACGCTCCAGCGCGTTGTTGTACAGGTGCACTGTGTGCAGCCGCTTGAGGCCCTGGAAGGCCAGCGGGTGGATGCCCTGCGCCCGCAGCTGGTTGCTGTGCAGCAGCAGGTACTCCAGGCTGCGGATGGGGGTCAGCACATCCGCATCCACACTCCGGATGGCGTTCTTCTCCAAGTGCAGCAGCACCAGGCTGCGGGGCAGCCCTGCCGGGACCCGAGACAGGTTGTTGCTGGACAGATCCAGGTACTCCAGGCTGGAGAGCTTCCTGGGGCAGGGAGGGAATCAGGATGGTTGGCAGGAGCTCCACCACGATTCCCAAGAGAAGTGGCTGGGGATTTGCCACTAGTTCCTCCCAGCTCTGCCACTCACTGACTGCAGGCCTCAGTCCTTGCTCCTTGGGTTGACTCAATGATATTCTGGTGTAGGAACCATCTGGCATTTTCTAACACACAGGCGTTAACTTGAAGACCACTGTTTAACCTTTTGTTAGCCTTTTGTGGCTACCCTAGTCCCTTATAAAAATGAAAATGCATTTGCCTTCAACAAGAATGTCTGAGTCTCTATTTCATACCAAGAAGCTTAGCCTCGGCCAGTGCTTCTTATAGGTAAGGAATCTTGACAGGCCTTATGTATACACAGTACTTGTTCCCAGGGACAGAAATGTCAACAGAGGCACAAGGCTTAAAGTTCCTTCTCCAGGAAAGGTGGGCAGGGATTTGTGCGAGGGGCTGGGCTGGGTGGTTGGCCCTGAAGGAGCTTCCCAGGCCCCACGGTCACACCAAGGACGTGGCGAGACGAGGACTCACCAGAAGGTCTCGTTGTCCAGGCCCTCGTCGGTCAGGTAGTTGTTCTGCAGGTACAGCTCTCGCAGGCTGCTCAGCTCACTGAAGGCCCCCGGGGGGATCTTCTCCAGCTTGTTGTTCTGGGGCATGGAGGGGAAGGGAGGAGAGTGTGAGGGAGGGCCGAGGGCAGGGTCAGGGCCTCCGGATGAGGTGTGGAGAGGATTGTAGGAAGCCACCAGGAAGGGGCTCAGACCTGAAGCACCCCAGCGGTGGTGCCGCCAACACCACACACAACCCACTGGCCAGGTGCCCGGGTTTCTGCCCACTTCTCCGCAGCGGGCTCCTTGCTCTCAGCCCCATGGCCCCACTTGGGCAGCACCTGTGTCCCTGTGGGCCTGGGCTCTTTCCCTGCAGGCCCCTGCTCCAGTGCCCTGGCTGTGGGGTCTGCTGTGCCCCTCCTTACCCCCTCCCCTGCCCACCTTCAGGTGCAGCTTGTACAGGGCAGGTGGCAGGTGCTTGGGCACGTGGCGCAGGAAGTTGCTGGACAGGATGAGGACCTCGACGTTGCTGGAGCCGTTGAACATGTTGTCCGGCAGCCCGGCGTCCGCCAGCTTGTTGTTGTGCAGGTACACAGACCTGGGGGCCGAGGCACAGGTCCTCACCCCACTTGGTCCCCTGGCCCTGTGCCAGCTTACCTGGTGAGCCTCCAAACCCTTTCCCAGGCTGAGCCTGGGACCCAGGGTGCTCTCCTTCCACCCAAACCCAAGGGAACAGAGTTAGAAGCACCTCAGATATTGCCTACACAGCTGACAGAACTAAGGACCAGAAGGGCAGTGCCCTACCACAGGTGGTCATGTAAGTTAGTGGGAGAAACAGGATTTCCTGGCCCCTGGACAAGGCTCCTCCACACCTTTCAAAGTCTCAGTTGACCCCTGACTTGTTCAGCTCTGGAGTCCTTGCCTGCCTCGCGGTTCCTCCATCCCTACCTGTCAACCCCACATAGCCTGGCTCTGAGTTCCTAGGACTTCCTAAAAACAGGGCCCACCTCTGCCTGCCTCTTTGGCTCTGGTGCCAGCACAGGGTGTGCCTGAGAGGAGGTGACCCTCATCCATTCAGCAAATATGTAATGAATATATTATGTTACATATTAAATATAGATATATACATATACTAGGTGTATAAATAAACATATATACGAGGGGCCGGGGTTGTTCTAGACTGAAGGCACAACAGGGGACGTGGTCCTGCCCTCAGGGAGCTAACATACTAGAAGGAGGGAAGACAAGGAACAAGGGTCATCTGTGACAGCTCAGTCATGCTGTGAGGCCTCTCTGGTGCCTCTGTGGGATGGGGCCATGCACAGTGGCCCTGGGTCCTCAGACAGATGGAGAGAGTCAGTGAGATGGCAGACACAGGGTCAGAAGGGCGCTGGGGTTGTCCAGCCCCCAGTCAGTCCTAGAGGTGGCTCCCCTGCAGCCCCCACCCCACCCTCGCCGCCCTGCTCTCTCATGCACCTATGCTGGGGGCACTGGCTCCTCCGAACACAGCTCAGCAAAGGGCAGTTCTGCTTTTGAAAGATGCTCCCCTCCCCCAGGGCTGGGAAAGCAGGGATACCTTCACTGGTTCCCCACAATTCCTGTAGACAACACGCTGTCCTCCCCTCCTGGCTGGAGTCATCCTCCTCCGTTAGTTAGGACCCCTGGGTGTCCCTCCGCCACAGCCCTGAGCACCAGGCCTCCTCTAGGCCTGCCTCTGCCTCACACAGGATGGCAGCCGCCACCGAGCCCCTCCCCTTGCCCCGGCCCGAGCCCACACCACCCCCCACCTCTGACCTCAGGTTTGGCTTCTGGCCAAAGGTGAGCCCATAGATCTTGGTGAGATAGTTGGCAGCAAAGTCCACACTGATCAGGGCATTTGGCAGGAAGCGGGGTGCCAAGGTCAGCTGGGAAGGAAAGAGTTAGGCCAAAAGAGCAATGGAGGGGCAGAGGCCAGCTCTGGGTTCCGTTGCTTGCTGCCCACCTGGGCCCCCTCACTGTGTCTCCTCGTAGTAACCAGGCCATCTTTCTCAAATTGAAACCTGTCCCACCCCCCTGCAAAAACGAAACCAAAACCTCTCTGGCTCTCCTCAGCACTCAACTTGGCATTCAAGGCCCTCGGGACTTGTCCCGTGCCCCACCCGTCCTCCTGGGTTCATCTCGGGTGGATAAGGGGTAGAAGTCGGTGTAAGCCAAAAGGCTGAGAAGAGATTAGTGTGACTTTAAAGTTGCCCTGGCTGATCCGAGAATGCGGGGAAAGTGAGGAGGCATCCAGGTGAGGGATGGGGGCCAGTGTGGTAGAAGCTGAGGACCTCAGCGGGACTGGACGTGGTGAGGAAGCTCAGGGCCCGGAGGCACCATTTGTGGCTTGGACCAGTGGGGCCATAGGTGGCTGGAGATGCCCCTTATGGAGCTGGGAAGACAGAGGAGGATTGGGTCTGGGTCTGGGGGCTGTGGGCAGGAGCTGTAGCTTCCTTCCAAGGGACGTCTGGGGAAATGTCAAGGAGGCAGCAGACCTTTGAGTCTCAAGCCCAAGGGGTAGAGAGAGTTGGAGACAGCCACTGGCTATGGCCATGATGCAGATGGGAGACAGAGTCTGGGAGGGCACAGGTCACCTCCAGAGAGTTCAGAGAGAGGAGGGGCTGGGACAGAGCTCTGCAGCACACCAAATATTTTGAGCTTGAGTACGTTTGTGCCTTCACTCATGACATCCCTTCTACTGCCCACTCTGGGGCACCTGCCTAGAATCCTATTACCCTCCATGGCCCTGCTCAAATGTTATCTCCTCCAGGAAGCCCTCCAGTTATGCCTTCCCCAGTGGGGATAAGTTCTTCCCCCTCTACGATCCTGTGGGCTTTGGCTTCTGTCTTCATTACCTGACACATTCTGATGCCCTGAGTTACAGGTATGGGGTCCGTGCCCCCCCGCAACCCCAGACCTAGGGCCATGTCTGAGCAGCAACAGGGACCCAGCAGCCAGTCCAGAAAGGCCCTGGTGAAAATTGATGGAACTCAGGGAAGACAATGCCTGGAGGACGTGGCAGCATACCCCCCACCCTGCCTCGAGCACCTCACCTTGTTATTGGCCAAGTACAGGTAATTGAGGTTGATCAGATGCTCAAACGCCTTCTCTGGGAGCCCTTCAAAGGACAGGCATCGGTCAGAGCCCTGGATGAAGGAGACGCTACAGGGAAGCACAGCAAGCACCCACCCTCCTCTCCCACCCACCCGCCAGTACTGGGGAGGCAGAGGCAGCTCAGATCACCTCCCAAGCAGTCAGGGTGGGAGGCCTGCCCAGCCCTGTTCTTTCTCCTTGCTCACACGAGCCCAAGTTCAGAGGAGCAGGCAGTTTTTGTCTACTGAGGGACCAACTCCCTGCTCCGGGTGGGGATGACCCCTGGAGAGGTCAGGCCAGCAGCAGAGCACCAACGCTGACCCTTTCCTGGCAGCAAGAAGTGCTCCCCTGGGAGAGAGCCCCAGAAGGTCAGAGCCCCGTTCACAGGCAGGTGGGCCCCACCAGGAATGTCTCCACATAGGCTGGGGCCATGGCTCCTGGGCCTCCTCACCACCTGGCTCGCCCCTGCCCCATCTGGCAGATGTGTCAGGACTCAGCTGCTACTGGGAGCCTGGCCAGGCTGGCCCTTCTCCAGCCCTGAGGCTGGCCTCTGACCCTCATTTCCGGGCTCCAAGACCCCCAGATGCAGGATCTCACCCAAGTCTCTAACAAGAGGGAACAGTTATATAAACTGGCACATCTCTCCACGGAACGGCCTGCTGCCGCTGTGTGAGATGATGATCAATGAGAGGCTTTAGCAACGCGAGAGAGGCGGCTGAGCTGACTGCTACGGGAAACAAAGCAGGCTATGATTTCTGTAGCATGTGTCCAGCCATGAGTTTAAGACACAAATTAAAAAAGACCACTGGATTGTGGTGATGGTGGCACCACTTACTAAAACTCATCCAATTTTACCTTTAAATTGGGTAAATCTCACAGTATACCAGTGATACCTCAGGAAAGCTGCTTTTTAAAAAATGGACACAAACATACCCAAATGTCAATAGTAGTTAATTCCAAGTGGCAGAATTGTAAGAGATTTTCTCTTTCTCTTTTATTTTCCAAAGTTTCTATCCTAATCAGATGTTATTTTAATCATCAGGGAAAAAACCAAGACACCTTTTTTAAAATGTGAGTCTAGTAGAGCTTTCGGGTTCTAAAGGCCCTTAGAACGGAAGATCCTATGACCAGGTGCTGGAAGCTCAGCTTTTCCAAAGCCTCTCCCTGCGCATCTCCCAGGTCTTAGAAACACCTGCCTGGGGCGCACAGGTGGGATCAGAAGCCGCTTGCGAATGAGAGGTTTTCTCTCTCTAGGGAGATTCTTCAAGCAATCACTATGTCAACAGATACAGAGGGTTCCCTTCTTTCACATGGTGAAGATCAGCGATCCCAACTTATTTAGAAGCCTAAAGAAGCACCATTTGTCCCCATTGGAATGGCAGGCTTTGCAGCCATTGTTGCATATGATTACACAAGTTGAAGAGCAGGAGAAATATGAAAATGTCCCTTCATCTGATCCGCATGCGTGTGGCAGCCCAAGGCTTTGCTGTAGGAGCAATGACTGTTGGGATGGGCTATTCCCTATATCGGGAATTCTGGGCAAAACCTAAGCCTTAGAAGGAGAGATGCTGTCTGGATCTTGTTGGAGGAGCTTGCTTTCGTTAGATAATTTTTTTTTTTTTTGAGATGGAGCCTTGCTTTGTTGAGGGAGATCTGTGGGGATTGCTCCCGTGTGAGGCCCCTAGGAAATGGGCCTCGCCATACGGTGAGCTTGAGCCCAGACACAGATCCCCAGTTGGGGGAGTTGAGCTGAGGGAAAGCAGGAACCGAGAGAGGGACTATGCTATTCAAAATAATTAACAGACATTACTTTATGGATATGAGGACTTGGTAGACATTGTGTCCACTTTCGGCTCCTTAGGGTTTATTGCTTCATTGTGTTCATTTTGGATCCTTGATACATTCATTGTAAAATATTAACTTAAGTATTTACTGGGCATAACTTACTGGGTGTAACTTACTTACCTTGACTTACTGGGCGTAACCTACTTACTGGGCATAACTTACTTAGCGGGCTTAACTTGCTTACCTTGTGACTTAACTTAAGCATTTTGATCTGACGTAAACAACATTAAGCAGAAAACTATATAATGGAACCTATTGCAAAAATAAAATTGCTGCATGGGCATAGCTCATGTGGCCCTCCAGATCTCGCTTTTTTTCTTTCTCCTTTTTCCTGGCGCACGCTCTCTTCCAGGTTTGGGACCCTCTCGCTGGACGAGATTCCCGGGCTCATGTTCAGTTCACAACACTTTGTCGCCCAGGCTGGAGGACAGTGTCGCATCTCGGCTCACCACAACCTCTGCCTCCAGGTTCAAGCGATTCTCCTACCTCAGCCTCCCAACTAGCTGGGATCACAGGCGCCCACCACCACATCCAGATAATTTTTTGTATTTTTAGTAGAAACAGGGTTTCACCATGTTGGCCAAGCTGGTCTCGAACTCTTGACCTCAGGTGATCCACCTGCTTTGGCCTCCCAAAGTGTTGGGATTACAGCCGTAAGCCACCACACCCGGCCTAGTTAGACATCTTGAAACATGTCACCTGAATGCACTTGATGGTGTTGAAAGGTCCACCTTCTTAAACTGTTAGGATAAAGTTAATTCTAAAGAAGACAGCGGGCCAATCCTGAAGTACTCCCAGTTTGCTGCAGAATCTCACATTTTTGGATGTTATGTAAGGTCCTATTTGCCCCAGTTAATTTACCTTTTTTCTGCCTGTCTGTAGACTTGCTGGCTCTTTTAGAACTCTGTCCAAAAGTACATGGATATAACTTGAAAAGCCTCCCACAACTGACAGTATCTATGTGTGTGGTTAAAGCAAATTTAGCAAGCTTACAATAAAGCATAGTAATAGTATTTATTAAAGAATCACAATCGTAAACATGAGAATAACTTATGGATTCTAGTTTAGTTCTTTTGTAATTGCAGAATTATATTTTTGCTGCTGTTATATTAGAGTCATTTTAAAATGTCATCTTGAAATAGAATTGTGTGTTTTAATCACTCACGCAAGGTAAACTAACACTTTAAAAATGTGTGTGTTGCTTATTTTTTCTATAAGAATTATAAACATTAAACTAAACAAATGACCTATAATGGAATTGATTAATGACTATGAGCCTGCTGGTGTGGTCAGACAGTATACACAAACTTTTATATACTACAGAATGCTATTACACTTGTGAAATTCTCTTGTCTAACCTGGATTTACATGCCATGGTGATAACAAGGTGTATGTATTGTTATTAAAATAAGTGACCCATGCCAAAAAAAAAAAAAAAGAAAGAAAGAAATACCGTGTGGTATTCAGGCAACAATGGGGAGCCCCTTACCCATGTGGAGCTGGTTCTCATGAGCCCCGCTGCTAGCCAGGCCCAGGCCTGCCCTCTTCCATCCACACCCCAAGATCCACAGGGCCAAGATCTCCCCATGGGCACCAAGCATCATTCAGGCCCCCAAGGCCCCACTTGGTGCCCCTGACCCTGAGCTCTGGGCGGCCCCTCACCTCAGGAAGCCCCCACTTAGCACGCTGGCCCCTTGGCTCTGGGCAGCCCCTCACCTCGGGAAGTCAGGCGGTTGTTTTGCAGGTTCAGCGTCTCCAGCCGGTGCAGCCGGGAGAGCTCCTCAGGGTAGATCTTTTCCAGCTGGTTGTTCTAGGGGGTAGGGGGTAGCAAGGAAACAGCATCAGCCTAGTGGGGTGTGCTCTGGACTCCGGCCCTTGCCGGCAGCTCCAGTCCTAGAATCCAGTCCACCTGCTGGGCACCTCCCTTGGGATTCTCCCCACAGCAGTAGACCCTGGTGCCAGCTCTAGGACAGGTCTGGATATGGGCTCTAGGGTGCCACAGTGACAATAGGTGTGTGGGTCCTGCCTTCAGGGAGCCACATGTGGACATCAACAGGCAGTTCAGACTCGACGTGCTCTCTTCTCCAGACCTGCTCCTGGAGCATTCCCACCCCGTGACAGGCAGCCACAGCTGCTCCCCAAGCTAGAAATCACTTTTCCTTCTCTTCCTTGGCCCTGCAGTCCCCTCTCCCCTTGGAACACATGAAAAGCTGAGGCAGTGACCACCTCCTCCAGAAGCCTTCCTGGATTGGGTTGGGGCTAGATTAGGAGGCTGCTCTCTCTGGCTGCACCAGAGGCCCAGTGCAGGTGCCTGAGAGAGTTGATGTGTGGATGAAAGGGCAGTGAGAGCTGCCCTCAGAGTGGCCCTTTCCCTCCGTGACTACCCTGGCCTTGGGCTCCCACGGTCCCCAGCTCAGACCCACCAGTGTGGATGACCGTCAGCAAGTCACTCCCTGCACCGGGCCTGGTCGCCTCTGGAATAAGTGCTGCAGCCCCTCCATCTCCCCAGGGCTGCTGGGCTGCACAAAGTGAGGGTGGGGGCACCTGCACTCCAGGGTGCAGGTCTGTACACCATCTGACTCCTCATGGTTCCAAATTCTAGCCTGCCCGTTGGCTGGAGACAGCGCTCCCTCCTCCGAGACCCCAGAGTATTCTCGTCAAGTCTACTTTGCTCTGGCGTTCCTGGCCCTAGTGGTGGCTGTGCATTCAGAGGGTTGGCTGTGGGGCAGGTCTGCATCCACTTTCAGACAGAGCCTGGCTCGACTTACTGGGCCCAGCCTGGACTCCTCTAAGTGAGCAAAGCGGGGTTTTACTGTATAATCACAGTGCTCTGTGACTAGGACATCAGGAAGGGCATTACCTGCTGCGGCCAGTGCCCCTGAATCTGACCTGCCCCAGCACCCTGTGGCTGGGAGTGGAGAGCCATGCATATTGGAAGTTCTGGGTGAACAGGTTGCTGGGAGTGTCGGGGTTCTGGGATGGGAGCCAAGGGTGTGTGGGGCAGCCCCCGTAACCACGGGTGCAGCGCCGACCTCACCTGCAGGGACAGGTGGTTGGTGTGTTCAGGCAGGTCCCCGGGGAACTCACGCAGGTCGATGCCGCCACAGTCCACGACACCCTCCTGGGAACAGGCACAGTCTCGAGGGCAACTGACCACAGCTGGGCCAGGCACGGGCTCCTCAGGGCTCAGGACCAGCACCGGCTCCTCCTCTGCAAATTCGTTCTCTTCGGGACTCAGGCTGTGGCTGCCGCTTCGGCCAAACCCCGGGGCCCTTGCAGCAAGCACAGGTCCCAGGTGCAGCTGTGGCGGCAGCAGCAGCAGGAGTAGCAGTGCCCAACTCTGGGCCATAGTGCCTGCAGGGGGTCCCAAGTCAGATGCACCTGGGCGCCAGGGCTGACGGAACCTGTGAGGTACAGGGAACACAGCTGGAGCCCTTGAAAGTCATGATGCGCCCCTCCTCCCCCCCGGCTACAAAGCAGGGCCCACTCTGGACTGTCCTCAGTGCCCAGTAGATGACTGACTGAGTGGCGCTCGGCACCTGCCAACCCCCACCACGCTGCCTCCAGAGGCAGGCGACGAGGTGAAGCCCTGTCCTTGGGCAGGTCTGCAAAACCTTCTGCAGCCTTCAGCAGGCTTGGCCCCAAGGAGTCTGTACCCCTGTTTCCTAGAAGGGGAAGCCGAGGCATGACCTGGACTGTGCTGAGCCCTTGCTACCCTGGCACTGGCGGTGTGGGAAGATCCTGAGCCTCCTCCAGCAGCCACAGGCCATGGTGAGCCAGCACCGGCAGCGTGCATCCCGGCTCTCAGGTTCATCATTCACAGGTCTTCCTAACTTGGTCCTGACTCTCTTCCAACTGTCCCCTCAACTGCCCCCAGTTCTATAGGACTATTGAATAGCTCCTCCTTCCAGGCCTTTGCACATGCTGTTCCTTCTGCCTGGGATGCCCTTCCTCTCTCTTGTGCAATCAGCATTTTCTTCCCTAGGAACCAACTCCAGGGCTCTCTGTGACCATGTTCACCCAGAGCTTGGCATTAGTTGGGTTGGGTTTTGAATAGCAAAGGGGTCTTTTTCCCAAATAGAGCTGTGAGCATCGCTCTGTGTCTGCGTATAGGTCAAGCCCAGAGTGCAGCACAGAGAAAGTATCAGTGATTACAGCTGCTGCTGCCCTCACGGCCTCCCAAGTCCCATTCCTGATGTTTATCCCCTTAGCTGACCTCACCAGGGCCTGATGTGCTCAGTGACTACTGCCAACCCGCCAAAGACCACTCCCCAGCATGGCTCCCAGGTGCAGCAAGGAAGGAGTAAAGGGGATAATCTCAGGCCCACAGAGGAAGATGCTGGAAGATGCCATCGTCCCAGCAGTTCCATGGTATAGGCTCGGCACTGGGTGGGTTCCTGGGTTCTCTTTACAGGGACTCAGACATCTCTGGGCTGTGATAAGACGTGCTGGTAGCTCAGGTTCACAGACTCATGCCCCACAGATCCCAGTTTGAGTCCCACCTCTGACCTTGTTGAGCCTCAGTTTCCTTGTCTGTACAATGCAGCTAATACATCTAAATGCACAGCTTCTGTGGAGTATGATAACAGACGCAAAGCACCTGGCGCCTATGAGGTGATGAGGAGCTGCTGTCACCTTATGACCTAATGTGTAATATCTGCAGCAGTTATGCACAGTAACATGCTCCACTAAGTGAGCAGCAGGGACAGCAGCAAGGACCTGCTGTGGACACCTCCAGCATGGGGGGCATTCTCTCCTGAGCTGAGTGGCCACGGGCCCCGGCTCAGGCTGAGCCTCCCTCCCCACCACCAGATCAGACACCGTGACCATAAGGCAGCTAGAAGGGCCTGGCAAGACCCTGGGCCTAGGAGGGTTTTGTAAACTGGGGAGCTTGACGATGACGTTAATGTCTGCAGCTAGCGGCCAGAGCTGCAATCTTGGCTCTGGCCTCAGCTCTGGCTCTTATGTGATTACAATCATCTAAACCTCAGCTTTCTCACCCATCCTTGGGGATAACAGCACTATCCTTACGGGAAGACTGTGAGGGTTCAGTGAAATGCATGTACTGCACATAGTAAGTGCTCAATAAACACCAGCTTTTCCTGCCATGAATTGTCTGTTCCGTGGGCATAATCTCAACCCCTACCACACCACTGCCCACTCCAGAATCTCCTGCTCCTTCCCCTTCCCTTGTCTAGCTCTTGCTGGGTTTTTTGTTTTTTGTTTTGACAAGGTCTCTGTCACCCAGGCCAGAGTGCAGTGGTGCAATCATAGCTCACTGTAACGTTGAGCTCCTGGGCTGAAGTGATCCTCCAGCCTCAGCCTCTCAAGCAACTGGGACTACAGGGGTGCACCACCATGCCAGCCAAATGTTTACACTTTCTGTAAAGATGGGGTCTCCCTATGTTGCCCAGGGTGCTCTCAAACTCCTGACCTCAAGTGATCCTCCCACCTTTGCCTCCCAAAATGCTGAGATGACAGGCATGAGTCACTTGTCCTGGCCCTTTGCTTGGGCTTTCTGACCCCATAGCAGGCCCACCTCCTCCCAGAAGATGTTACAGATATTGTACCCACCTCTGAGTTCCTGCTGCCCCATGGCATCTGTGGCATTTCAGATACCACTCTGCCTCACCTGGTAGCTCAGCTAGTTCTCTGAATTAAGGGCCCATTCGTGCCTGGGCCTGAACTGGGCACTAGGGACACAGGTGAGGTGGAAATGATCCCTGTTCTCCATCTGGAGGGGGCAGCAGACCCCGGTACCAATAACCACTGCCCACCCAGACTGGGGGTGGGCAGCGTAAAAAGGGTCCCAAGGAGTTTGAGGCACTAAAGAAGACAGGAGGGGTGGCAGCCAGGCTTGCTTGGCCCTACCGATCCACATGGCATATAAAGACTCAGGTCTCAGCCACTGGCTTGCCAGGGAACCAGGGAGCCCGGCACACACACAGTTTCCAAGCTCCAGGGATCAGTCAACAACAGTGAGTGGTGCCCACAGCAGCCTACCCCTATGCTCACTCCATCACACCCCTGCTGCCCCTGGCCCCTGACCCAACATCAGTCTACAGACCATCATTCCCACAGCGCATCATAAACTCCACAGTCAGCTCAACAGCCGTCAGCTCCTTGCCCATCTGACCCCACTGTAGTCGGGGGTTCTGAGAGTGAGTGTGAGCCCAGGCCCAGTCCCCAAATTTAATCAGGGCAGAAGGCCAAAGAGAAGAATCCGGGGGAAGGAGCTCTGGTCCCACATATCCTGTGCACTCACCAGGCAGGCTATTCTGCCTCCTTGCCTTCCATTGTGGATCTGTAAAAATCTGTAAACTGCATCCATAAATATCTTTAATTTATGTTAATATTCTGCACCGTACCAAAAATGTTATCACCACTTTATAACTCAGGGAGCTGAGGCCCAGTGGGCTCAGCCAGGGAACAGCTGTTAAGTGGCAAATCTGAGCTCTCAGCTGAGGTCATATCAACAATGCTACACTGCTCTCCCCAAGGCCAAGCATGACAGGGAGCTGGGGACCCACACAGAAGACTCGGCATGGCTTCTGCCCTTCAGAGGCCCACAGCTGCACTGTCCACTCCATTAGCCACTTGCCACATGTGGCTATTGGGCACTTGAAATGTGGCTGGTCCACATAGAGATGTAAGTGTAAAATGTAGTGTACTTGGCTGGGCGCAGTCGCTCACGCCTGTAATCCCAGCACTTTGGGAGGCCGAGGCGGGTCAATCACGAGGTCAAGAGATTGAGACCATCCTGGTCAACATGGTGAAACCCCATCTCTACTAAAAATACAAAAAATTAGCTGGGCATGGTGGTGCGTGCCTGTAATCCCAGCTACTCAGGAGGCTGAGGCAGGAGAATTGCCTGAAACCAGGAGGCAGAGGTTGCGGTGAGCTGAGATCGTGCCATTGCACTCCAGTCTGGGTAACAAGAACGAAACTCCATCTCAAAAAAAAAAAAAAATGTAGTGTATATGGATTTCAAAGATGTAGTACAAAAAAGAATGTAAGATTCCTTGTAAATATTAATGACATCAAATCCCATTTATTGTTATAGTGATTGCATGATAATATTTTGAAAAGGTTAAATAAATTTTACCAGTTTCATTTTACTCGTTAAAATATGGCTTCTGGCTAGATAAGGTGGCTTATGTCTGTAATCCCAGCACTTTAGGAGGCTGAGACAGGCAGATGGCTAGAGCCCAGGAATTTGAGAGCAGCCTGGGCAAGATGGCAAAACCTCGTCTCTACAAAACATACAAAAAATTAGCCAGGTGAGGTGGCATGCACCTGTAGTCTCAGCTACTCAGGAGGCTGAGGTGAGAGGATCACCTGAACCCAGGAGGCTGAGGATGCAGTGAGCTGTGATTGCACCCCTGCACTCTAGCCTGGGTAACAGAGTGAGATTCTGTCTCAAAAAAAAAAAAGGCTTCTAGAAAATTTTGCATTGCATATGTGGCTTGCATTTATGGCTCACGTTATATTTCTATTAAACAGAGCTGGTCCACAGCATTATGTGTAAGCTGAGTATTATAATCCCATTCTAAGGGATAACTTTCAGGCGAAAGGGAAAGGGCCACACAAGCAAGGGAGTCGGTATATGCAAAGGCCCAGAGGCAAGACAGTCCACACTCACAAGACCGTCTGGTGTGAGATAGGGACTGGGAGTGTTACAACCAGGCACAGTGGCCACAAGCCCAGGCCACGTGAAGGCCAGGTTAGGCAGTGTGGGCCTTCTCATTGGAAGATGAGGACCATTGAAGGGCAGGGGCGTGACACAGGCAAGTTTGTGGGTGGACATGAGGCTGTGCAGTTGGGACAGGTGAGGGCAAAGGGGCCAGACCTTTGGCAGAGAGAGAGGCGCTGGACTGCAGGGATGGAGAGGAGAAATTGGAGTAAAGGGAGAGGTAAGAAGAACAGACGGGGCTTGGAGAGTGGTCCCTCCAGCTTGGCCAGCCACTCTCAGGACTGATAGGTCCTGGCAAGTCCAGCCCTACTACCTGGTTTGCTGTGTGACCTTGGCTATACCACTGACCCATCTGAGTCTCAGTTTTCCCACTTGTTCGTTTTTTTTTTTTTTTTTTAAGTCAGGATCTCACTATGTTACCCAGGCTGGAGTGCAATAGCACAAGCATGGCTCACTGCAGCCTTGGGCTCCTGGGCTTAAGTGATCCTCCCACCTCAGCATCCCAAGTAGCTGGTATTATAGGCACGTGCCACCATACGTGGGACCTGGCTAATGTTTTATTTTTAGAAATGGGGTCTCACTATGTTGCTCAGGCTGTTCTTGAACTTTTGGCCTCCTGCCTCAGCCTCCCAAAGTGTTGGGATTACAGGTGTGAGCTACTGTACCCAGCCTTGTTATTCTAAGAATGGAGCAAGATAAGCCCCCTCCCCG